AAGCCGGGATACTGTAAAGCTATAATCCCAAAAAAAAAAAAAAAAATTGTTATTTATGAAATTTAAGCTTCCTCTTTAATTTTTTTTTTTTTCTTTTTTTCTTATGTTTTCATTGATTATTTATTTATATTTATATTAATTTTTTTTTTTTTTTTTTTTTTTTTATTTCATTTAATTCATTTAATTCATTTAATTCATTTTTGCTCACATAATTATTATATTATATTTGTATTGAAAATTGAACTATGTTAAACATAAAAATATGATTCGTGTTTTTAATAAATAATTTATGAATTAGCCATTGAATCAAAATGTAATTTTTTTTTTTTTAAATATTTTTGTAATCATAGTTAAGAAAATGTATTTTAGGTTTTAAATTTATTTTTGTAAACAAATATTTATTTGCTAACGTATAAATAATGAATGAGAATATAAACATATTTTAATCAAATAAGAATCTATATAAATTTAATTTATTACATATCTTATTTGCTTGCGTTGTGATAATTAAAGCTTAATATATACCAAAAGTTAGCGATTAAAATACATTTTAATTTTTTTAAGCACGTTTTTCCTTGAAATAATCTACAAAAGCCACCTGAGGGAATCGAACCCCCGATCTTGTGATTACGAATCACACGCATTACCAACTATGCTAAAGTGGCATAGGATGACGAATTATTACTTTCGTTATTATACATTATTATTAACGGTATCACTACTGTTTTTTTGGTTTTTTTATCCAAGTATTCAACAATATGTTAATTTTACATATAAATAAATATGTTGAAAAATTTTTATTTAATAGTTTTTATTAAAATAAATTTTTTTAAATGGTAACATGTTTTTAAAATAAATTTTGTTTAGTACAGGTATAAAGGAATTTTTTTTTTTTTTTATTGTTTAATGTTATAAGCGTGTCCGATAATACATATATATATATCAAACATAAAAAATGAAATAAAAAATTATATATCTACATGTGATTATTAACATTGTGTCAACATTTTGTAAACATCATGTTACGATTACATAATTAGAGACATTACAAAAACTGTTTTTAAATTCCAATTTGTTTAGCGATAAAAAAGAAAACATACATATATATGTATATATTTATGTATACATATTTAGTTGATTAAAACACAACAGTTTTTATAAATATAAATAAATTAGCATGAGTCAAAAAATTAGATGACATAATTATAAGGGAACTGTGGTAAATGCATACTTTTTTTTTATGGTCAACATGAATGATGTATAGACCCTAAAAAAGGAAAAAGAAAAAAAAAAAAACCAACTGGACAAAAAAAAGAAGTAAAAACCTTATAATTATTTTACAAAAATAAACAATTCATTTTAACCAATAGTTATACAAGCCTTTAAGTATGATTTATATATACATATATATAAACATTATATGTATTGCTATTTTGTAAAATGTGTCACATATATGTTATAATTTTCAAACATATAGATACAATTTATTAAAAGGAAAATATATGCAGAAATATAAAAAATAGTTTATTATGTTAATAAATTAGGTATTTTTTTAAATAAGTGATATGTGTATATTTATGTATATACGAATGGTGTACTCTTTTATGTCTAAAGTAATGCTTAGTTTGCTGTTATTTTGTTCGCTGCAGTAGCGTTAGTTTACTTTTAGTAGCGTTAGTTTACTTTCAGTAGCGTTAGTTTACCATCGGTAGTGTTATTTTAACATCGGTAGTGTTATTTTAACATCGGTAGTGTTATTTTAACATCGGTAGTGTT